GTGAGAACGACTAAGAAAAATATTGGTGAATAGAATGAAGAAAAATAACTTGCGTCGTTCGAAGTGCGCACAAGGAAGTTCTCGCATTTGACCACACGTCGAGTTCGACTGATATGAATTAGAAACTAGAGATCTGAATTCGACAAATGAATGCTTCGTATTCATTGATTAAACCTAAAAGAAATCTGAATGTTAGGAAATGACAAGTGATATGGCGATGGCGAAGCGTAATATCCAACGTGCAGTCGAAAGGGTATTCATGGCCGACTTCAACGTGATTTGTGCAAAGAAATCGTTCTCATACGTTTCACATACAGACACCTATTGCCAGATCAGTCGACCGGACGTGACTTGCTATGCATTCATGGCTTATTAGATGCCTCATTCTTAGCTGATCTATGTATTGTGCGGTGTTCACTTCGATCATTCTTCTGTAATCGGAATCTCATGATGTATCATTAAAATGTTTCGTGTTTAAAAATGACTGTGCTTTTTGTTTGATTTTGCATCGTACTCCGTCTAATTGGATGGATATTTCCAACTACGTACTGCCCACAATGTTTCGTTCCGTTTTCTGCCATAAAAATTTTCCTACCGTAATTGATCGTTCTGAGAGAGTGTCAACAGTGCAAAAGTATGATCAGTGAATGGCTTGGATGATGGCCATTTCTAAGAGAGTCACTGACATTCTAGCATCATCTCATCGAAATTTTCGTCCATTTCTATCCAGCATCAACGAGAGACACATTCCGGACTGTATGTATCTCATCAAGCACATTTGTGAACTACGATAAAAATCGAACTATGAAAAAAATCGCAAAAATCGCATCACAGTTCAGAGGAATGCAAAAAATCAATTCGCCCATTTTTATTTTCTAATATTCGATGGTTCAGTGTCGATTCGCTGAACTATGTTGGTGATGAGTGGAAATGACGTTAGGCGACGGTTTCCAAAATGAAAATTTCCTGTCGAAGACGTCGCGGTTTTCTTTTTTTCGTTCCATTTTTCTTCCTATGTGAAGTGAACGTTCTTGCTGAACGTTCTCGCATTACCTGATTGCTTTGAATCATTCATAAGCAACCAAGGGGAGGGAGGGAAATCATGCCGAGTGAGCATGAAGGAACAAAACTGGTATCGAATGAAGAGCGAAATCATTGGGAAGATGATCTAAAATTTCAATGATGAAATGATTACAAGCCTTAATGAAAATACTGATTAACGAGGCCCAGGCAAGGAGGGTAGCATTCAGCAGCTTGCAGCAGTTTTCACGGCACTCGAAATCGGTGAAACGCAGTATTTTGGTGTCATCGCTTTTGCGTTAGGTTGTTTTGGAATGGTATTCATAATTCTTGATTACGTTGCTTTGGGTGCTATGTTTACTGGTGAATTAATATGTATAAATAGAACTTTCTGCGATCTATTCCCGGATCACTAATGGAACAGTTAAGATGAATTCGAAACGATGCATGTTTCAGTGAGCTTGTAATGATATGATGGAGACATTCAAAGAAGGGTATTCGTAATTGTTGATTTCAAAGGGTTTTGATTATATAAGCTCGAGGAACGAAACGGGATTGAAGACTGAAAATTCGTTGCCGTCAGCCTGAATACTGCAGTCAGGAAGACAATACATTTGCATTGGTAATGCGATTAAAAGGATTGAATTCGAATTGTTTTACTCATCTGCAAACATTTGTGCAGTGAAGCGGTACACAGCTGATGCAATTCGACTGTAAGAGGAGGACAACAACCATGAACTGTAAGAACTCGCTCGGAGCACTCAATCATGCAAACACGTGAAATTGACCTATTCTCCTGCGGTATGCAATTATGATAAACGAATGAAGTCGTTTGTAATTGATTTCGAGGAAACAGTCATACTAAAAGGTGAATAGCGATCGGTTGAATACGACTTGGTAACATCAATCCATAAATGACAATTATATTTTTTGACAGTGTTGTGTTCGAGCATAATCAACGTGTAATTTGATAAGAACTGCTCGTAGAATGTGGTGAATTCATGAGAACAATCAAGACAACGATCATGGTTCATACCCTCATCATACACTGACTATGTTACCTCATATATGAGTCGTTAAGGTATTATTGAGATGTGCATATAAAATTTAATAATTCTTATTCAGAAATGTGCATTTATGGTTCATGAAAAACCATGATAAGCCGTCAAAAAGCCGTCGGTGGTCTGATCGCTCGCAGTTGGTTAAAAAACCAAAATTTTTGGAAACACTTTGCCATCGATGACAACAAGTGCTTACTCATATCATTCACGATTTCTTCATTGATTAGAAAGCGCTACATACCTGAATACAAATTGGTTTTGATATCATCTTTATGATATGATAAGCATACACATCACTTCATCATCAACAGAAGCTTCTATAAACTGCTTTTCACCTTGAAAAGTTTCATTGACACAGCGTTCATTGAAAACTCTGTGTATGTTCGTGTTTATACAATAGTTTTCATTGAGTATGTGATTACGCAATTCAGAAATTCCAGGTAAGTCATGAAGGCGTTGACAGTTTGGTGCTCATATGAGTGACTGGTGTTTTTATCTGCTATAAAGCACCTCCCAAAACAAGTTCTAAAAGTATAAAAGAGCTGAAAATATTTCATCGGATGTCAGTGCACAATGTAAACTTCCGAGGCCGCGATTTTATAATCCAAATTTCTTATACCCGTTCAAGACGCTCCACCTAGAAGAGTAGATGTAGACGCGTTCTCATCGTCCATTGAATCATATCGTTACCCTCTAATTCTCACATGAATCAGAATAAAAGAAATTTTACTTGTTTTTAATCGATCACTGTACCAGCTTTTAGCTGAATGAATCAGATTAATAGAAGAAACTCTCAAATATTAGCCTTCATTGGTCTTCATTTACATCAATTCAATGAGAAATTATCCATAAATTTTTTGATTCCTCAATATTATTGTACCATTGCCGAGTGATTAAATCAATCTTTATATTTCTCAAAATAGTTGCATCGTAATTGTTAGGATTTTTTATCCGATATTGAAATATTTTACGATTGCCTCGGAATGAAAGAATTGTTTTGATTGCTCGTTACGGTACAAAATTCAGTCTTAAGTTGAAGGTCGTAATGAATATTGTACACTTGTAATGTTCACCAAACGCTGCACGCAGTGTTTGGTGAATTGAGAGAGATTACGATATGCAGAATTGAGAATTGAGGAATAAAAGTATTCGAAAGGTTTGCGATTGAAGCGAATTGAAATTGTTAAAGTGTAATATGACCGGAATGAAGTGATTTAAGGATGTTACCCACATTGGTATTACTAGCAGCCGTATTGTGCTATGAAGGAAGTGTTGTAGAGGCAGGAGGGTGCTGTTGCATGCCAGCATGCAGAGTGCCTGCGTGCCCCCAACCCCTGCCACCCCCTCCCCCACGTCCTTGCCCACCTCCGATATGCCCACCTAAGGTGTGTCCTGCGCCACCGCCATGCCCTCCACCCCC